TTTTTTTTTTATTGCAGAATAATGATAACCTCCCATTCCCCTCTAAGCATTAAAAACACACTGCGAATAACTCGTAACTCATTATAAATGAACGACAGAATATTACGAGGAAATCACTCTAATTTCATTTTTAAGATGTAAATAAATAAAGATGTAAATATAAAAAAATGAACAAATAAATAAAAAAAAAGAGAAAGAAAAAAAGAGAGAAAGGGAAATATGATTGTTAGAATGTTTAGGTTAAATTATTGCAATTGCCGTATTGCGTTTCATGCTCGCATTTCGGCTGATAATATATGTTTCATGAATCGGAAATAGATATCATAAAAGAAGGATGGCACAAAATTATACAGCACCGTTTCTTACTTCGGCGTCACATGTTCAATAACAAGGATATGGTAAAAGAAATTTTTATTTTTTTCGGTCGTTTCTTATGTAACGTAAAACTTACTCGATTTGAAAAAGATATTACATTATACTTTACGATCATTTATGTCTTATTATTATTTTAATCATATATGTATATAACTTAAAATTATAACAGTAATATCGAAACTAACTAACTCGTTACAGTTTTATATGCACATATACAATCCTATTTTTCTCACAAAGTTGTTCCCTTTTTGCTCAATATGCAGCACGTGGTGCGAGTATGACGTAGGCTTCGTTATATCAATAATTGAGTTGCTACGGAATACACAAACGCGATAGCTTTATTTTAAAGTGCGTGTAAATAAAAAAATTTCTATATGTATAATAAAATATTTATCATTGCATCCTGATTGATGTAAAAAGAATTTTATAATAAGTAAAAAAGACCTATGACAATTTAAGATATTTGAAATCATTTGAATAAATTTACATCAGTAAGAGTAATACTACGAATAATTATATGTTACATAAATTTCATATTTTCCAAATTTAATTATATAAAATAAAAATTTTATTAATATTGTGATAAATTTATAAACTTTTTAATATTAGATGAAAAAATCAAAATAAAAGAACCAAATATTAAATTTAAATCAAGAAAATAAAAAAAATTAAATTAAAATTCAGAAAAAAAAAAATATTTAAAATTTAGATAAAATGTCAGCTTCGTAGAATATGCATTGTCAAGATTCTTTAAATAGAAATCTTGCATCAATAAAATAATCAGGCATGCTAAATATTATAAAAATTTTATTTTTTACTATAATAATAATTTCGCCGAATCCGTTTTTAATTAAATAAAAATAAAAAGCCTTTGAGGGCCTACGCTAAAAATCATTGCGATTATAATTTATTGTACATAACAATTAATTAAACGTTTTGACCCTATTCAACGATTATTTTTAATTAATTTTAATTGCACATTGGTGACTTTAAATATATTAATAACTTATAGAATTTTAATTTGGAGGCCGTAATAACCAAATACAGCAATATTTAAATTTGATATATTTAAAAAAATACATTTTTTTTTATATACAAATTATATACAAATTATATACAAATTATCGTGATTTATTAATTATGATAATTTATATATCTTTATAGTTTATTATGATGTAAAGATAAAGACAAAGAATATCGTTGTATTAATAACGTTAATGTAAATACCCGAAAATATATCAAAAGAACACATTAACCTTCCCCTTCGTACGTGATAATGTCCCGAAAAATAGCGATCTCTAATTATAGATAAAAGTACTAATATCGTTCGGTAAGTATAATTAGTCAGCATTTACATTTCTTCGCAATATTTAAAATAAGGTATTTTTTTGTGTTTACACAATTAATACATGTAAATAATTCAACTACCTTATTTTATTTTATTTTAGAATATAAAAAGATGATAAAAATTCGCATATAATATGATCTCTTTGTAAATATGCGAGCGTAATGGGTGATATTAATTTTCACTTATGTATGTATACAGGTTGTTTGATAAATAATAATAAAACTCTCACACAGAGATAGAGTGAACTAACCTGATAAGTAAACGGAAGTGTCACTCATCGATTTTAATAAAACTTTGCATATTTATAGAACTTTGAAAAATATTTGACATGTATTTTTTTTTATCGCCAAAGGTCCATTATGAAGGAATCTACTCTGAAAACTACCCATTAAAGGTAAGGATAGATTTAACATATTAGGTGAAATAAGTTAAAAATTTCAAAAGGTAAAATGGGTTAGGGAGATTTTGGGGTCGAAATTAAATTTTATGTCAAAAGTATGAAAAGTTTTCTTCAAAAGTTTTCTTCGTGTACGATCATGAGTAGACACAGTGGGCACACAAGCCTTTTCCTTTTTCACTGACACATACATATATTGTAGATATGAGTGTCTGATGTTTACGTTTTTTCAACAAAGTTGAAAAAACTGTAGATACGACACGTAGTCGAAATCGTCAACATAGATCGGTTTAAAATTTTCAACTTATTTCATCTATGTTTTCCGTAGGTTTACTTGTAAGTCGAAAAGTCCTCTACAATTTTCACAATAGTTTTAACAAGATATTAATTACTAAAAATCGCCGAATATTAGTTTTCAATAATTTTTTACTCAAGTACTATAAATTTTATAGAAATACAGCAAGTGATAAAAATTGTTTATTTTCTTCTCATAGAGCTCTGAGAATTTTTCAGAATTTTTTAGTACTGCATTTTTTCATGTTGTTAAAAATAGTTGCCAATATAAGAAAATGCAGTACTAAAAAGTTGATAAAAAATTCTGAAAAAATTCTTAGAGCTCTATGAAAAAAGATAAATAATTTTTGTCTCTTGCTGTTTTTCTGTAAACTCGATAGTACTCGAGTAAAAAATTATTGAAAACCAATATTTGATAATTTTTCATAATTGATATCTTGTTAATTATTGCGAAAATTGCAAAATGAGAACTTTTCAGTTTAATTCGCTCTACCCCTATGCGACAGATTTATCGTTATTTATTAAACATCCTGTATATAAAGCGGTCAATTTCTTTCAATGTAGTGTACATGCTTTTTTAACCTGACAGAGGTACATGTACGGATTCAACTATGTATTATCCCTCTCTCTGGAGTTCTACGCACTCCAATGTATTACTTAGTGTCGAGGATTGATGGGAGAATATCACCTGGCACAACAACCCTAGCATATTTTCTTTTACTCGATGATAATGTCGTAAAATAATCCAGATATAACATTTATTCCTTCTTTTTCTATCCTTCGATATACCGTCACAAATGAAATATAAAAACAAGAGAGAGAGTAGTTATTATCCTAATAACGCATATCTTTTGAACATCTTGTCATCAGGAATATACTTGACAGTAAAATATTGGATAAATCATTAGTAAATTATGAAACGTTACTCTCTCCTTTGAAAGAAAAAAGCAGTTCCTATAAGATTAAGATTTGATAAGTTTTAGCTTGAATAATATAGTATAAAAAAATTAATCAATTTGTACTCAATATAATATATCTTTCGCTAAAAAAAAATCAGCTATAATTTTAAGATGAATGTAATTCTTAAATGAATTAAGAATAGAATACACTTGAAAATTGAAGAATAAAACATCAAAAAATTATATACTTTAATGCAGATCCCTGCTTTAGATAAAAGATGAAAAATGAATATTGATCAGACGTAGTAGAGAATATCAGTATGGGGTCCGCCATCTATGCGCATCAAACATAAGCTATGCGAATTATACGATCATCTACGTATGAACAATCTGTAGATATCTTGAAAGTAAAAATGGAAAAAAATACTATGTTTTTTATGTATTTTTCTTCATCATTATGCGTATCTTTATCTTACGAAGTTTATCTTAATAAAAATACAATATTCGTTAAAAATCATGAAATTAATTAATGAAAAATATATGTTCTTTTCAATTGTCTAGTAAGAATGTCTAGTAAGAAAAATATATAATCAGTAAATATCACAACTATTAACTGCAACATGTATATCACAGTAAAATTAAATAATATTGCATTTTTTTGTATGATTTTGTACATATACTTGTAATAAATATAACTTAAAAAATGCTATTAATAAAAAAAAATATTTATTATACTATTTAAATTTAAAGTGTAATAAAAAATATATTGCGTTAATTTAATTCTCTCAACTTTTTACGATAAATTCCAACAGGTAATTGCATCCACATGGCAATAAAGCTTTATTATTTATCGGCGTATACCGAAGAATACTCTGGGGAAGCATAAAGCGCTTCACATACGGACAGAGATATTTCGTTCGTCATATAAATTTCTAATAAACAATTGTGCTTTCCTCGCTATAGCACCTACCGTAAACCGTGATCCGAAAACATATTGCTCGAGTAAGTATGGATTTATTATTGAAGCCAATTTCGAATTACGATGTCATAACTTCTTTTACTTCTTCTTCGCCTTCGTGAATTTAAGTTATACAGTAAGAACATTTAAAAAAAAAATACTGTAAAAGCAGATATAAATTTTCTTGAAAAATTCCCTTGGTTCGTTTGATTTATTTATAAATGTACAATTTTTTACAACTTTTATTGGTTTGACTTATCCATCTTATAAGGGAAAATCTTTTTAATTATTTTTATTGTGACTGATTATGACGAAGACTATAAATTAAAGCATAATCCACTTTATCTTAGATTAATTTCTAAGTTGCGCATATTATATAACGCTGTTTATATATCAAATATTTAAAAAAAAGGAGCAATTTTAGAAACAGCTATTAATCTTTCTTGAAGCATTATATTAATATTATTTATTAAGTGACAATAAAGATTAATACTGTAGTGCCATCCAATACGTTAATCTTCCTTTGATATATTGAGCGTGAGAAACAGCTGATAATGCGAAAAAATGAAATATACACATTTTAAACTCTTTATTTCATTTTATATTACTTGTATTATAGCTGCAGGATATTGAATGAAGACACAATAATCATTGGGAGATAAAAAAATAAAAATAAATGGAATATGAAAACGTTTCTCGACAAGAACGCATTTATAAGAATTTCGTTTAGTCAATTTTCCTCACATAATCCTTACAAAATTACATTTAATGATGATAGTGTAATATTTTGCCCAATATTAAAAACTATATTATTAAATTTTAAAAAAACTAAATTGCATGCAGGTACAAAACATTGCACTTACACAGAGAAGTGGTACAGGAAGCACTTCCAGCCAGTGGGACGCTCTAAGAAGTTGTAAACTTGACCTTGAAAGGTGGCTTTTCCAGCACGTCGATGTTCCTTGACGTGGTAGCGGCCCTCCCAAGCGCGATCACCACCAGTTCCCAGCAATAACCTTGGATCGACACCTGAGGATTTGTCAGTTTTACATTTTTATTAAATTTGTGAAAATTGTAAACAAATCGATACAAACCGTAATTATATCAATTATATTATATAATATTTACTGTGCAATTTGATTTCCTTCAAAGAACAATTATTGTGTGTATTTGATAACAATTAAAAAGACAAAAATGTTCTTCTCGATTGAATTATTATAAAAGTTATGATTTGCTATATAATAAACATAAATTATAATTTTAACAAAAGATAGAAATTTGTCACAATAAATACATATATTATAATTTTATTGTATATAACTAAATGTTTATACCGAAAACATATTTGAAATACAACGCATTAATGTATCATTTCTCTCATCTTTTATAGGTCTATTTTTGGTGCACTCTGGTTTCACGTTTTCCTTCATCAATCCTTGGTATATACTGACTGTAACCGAAAGCTCCCTGCTGAAAGATTTCCGGTTACAGGATATGACGTCACAAAAACCGTCACGCGGAGCGGTTCGATAGTCAATATTAAGAAATATAACTAACAGGCCACCAAAAAGTTGTAATTAATGTTGCCATCATATATATACACATTGCGCAATTTATCAAATATAAAAAAATATTTCATTTCGTTATATAGAATTGGCATCAAGTTTTCTATCCATTAATCTCAGTCAGTTTAATGCTTAATTACCATTTCACTAAAATCAAATATTTATAAAACTCATGAAGACAGTATATCACTGACAGTATATCACTGGAAAACAATTTTGTTGCGTTAATTGGAATTCTAATAGATTCAATCAGAAAGATACAAATCAGACACTTTTATAGTTAAATCTATAAAATATTTTAGTCGAACTGATCAGAAATTCAATTTACGATAACTGCAATGGAATTTTGATTCATCTGATCAGAATTGCTTTGTTTTCTTGTTGATATAATCGGAATATTTTTCTCATAGATGTAAAAACTTATAATAAAATCAAATATGAAGTCGAATAACAAATACAAAATATATATAATACAACAATATAACAATATAATACATAATACAACACATAATACATAATACATAATATATAATACATAATATAACAATATAAAAAAACAATATAAAATCTTATGAAATATATTTAAATTTTCTTAATGAGTACTTTAAAATGTGATATTACATGTATATAATAATATAAATAAAATCAAAATTTTTTGAAATGTACAAAATAAAATATACGTCTTGCCATATTCTCTTTTACAATTGATATAAAATAATAAAAACGTTGAATGATTTAATAATTTTTATAATTTTCGTGAATTTTTTTTACATTTGAACAATGCTTTCACAAGACATAATAAAATATTTTTTTTTAAATACAAATATATTACTTTTAATTATAAAAATACTTAAATATTTCAAAAGATATAAATAGATATAGAAAGAAAAAGTTTATACATGTACCTTTCGTAGAATAAAAAAGAGGTAATTTTTTTACTGTAATGTAATATATACTATATTGTGCTGTAATGAATATCGGAGCGTTAATATGACCATATAACATACTGCAATCAAACATTATGACATTCAATTATTGTGTATTAGCAAAGCTTGATTTAACAAGATTAGTTCTTAATTATATCCATATTATCGATATGAAAAATTTTTATCGGCTATTACATTCTTCACATGTGATTTCGAATTGTAGGGATCAATTTTCGATCCCTGAATTAGCAAATGGCGTATAATGCGCTGTCAATTTGATTGAAAAAATATGTAAATTAATAAACTTTGAATAATTAATGAATTTTATGCATTTTCATAAGATAGTATATTTTGCATATGTCATTTACTTATAAACAAATAAGAAAAAGAGATAGAGAGTATATTTTGTTTATTATTGTCATATTGTCTACAATTTTATATATATATATATATATATACATATATATTTTTTTTAATTCATCAAATATATTTAATAAATAATATAAAACTTAGACGTTAAAAAGTTGAAATGTTTTAATATTAATTATAGGTATAACTAAAATTTTTAGCACAAAGATTTATTTCAAATGTTAGTAGCAAGCGATAAAAATCGTAAAAATATTCCTTTTTTCATATCAAAATTAAAGATCGGTGAAACTTTGCTCTATTGACAATTTTTTAAGTGGAAGTATAATACACTTTACACGTATGTAATACACTTTTTCTCACCTCCAACCAAAGTGTCATTGTTGTCAGACTGCAAGGTAGCACTGGTATCAGATAGGGGCGACGGGGCTGGTCTTAAATCCGATGGCGGTTCCAATCTTAGTAAATCACTTCCGCCGTCTCCACCTCCTCCATTTCCTCTGCCGACCTGTACAATCGTTACGTTCAGAGGTCCCCGGTTACCTATCATAAAACAGAAAGAAAGAAAGAAAGAATATAATGATGAACAAGTTCATTAAAAATAAATAGTCGAATGCAAGAAGGGGGAGACTTTTTTTTATATTATGTATTTTATTAATTATACGCGCTCAATTTTGCTATGCAAAATCATTTTTAGAAAGTAACGACTGAAATGTGAAGGCGAAGCACTTCGCAGAAATGTCACTAATTGTAAATAGTAATTAACCTCTGTGTCATTTTCCTCAACCGCGAATAAACCGAGCTAAAATTGAATCAGTTTAACCGGATTTCTGTTCCTAAAACGACCGCGATTCGTTTATGCGATAATTTTATGCACAATCAACGATATGACATTTATTGATTTAGTGGTTACCTCATAACGTGTAAAGGTGGTTTATACTTTAACCGAAGAAAATATATTCGTGTAATTTGCGATCATTATGTCTTATGTCTCATTGCAAATGTAGAGAGAACATAAATAAACAAAAAACGCGGTATGTGATTACTGCTTGTAACCAGCAAAAAATATAAAATTATATCTTTTCTTTATAATTCATTTAAAATATGTAGGGCACATCTCGAAGCTACAGATATATATAATTAAAAACAAATTATATTACATATATATGTATAATTATAAATAAATTATTTTATAAAATGGAGTACCATATTTCTTTTTTATATGTCAATAAAACTGATAAGACAAAATTGTTAAAAAATTATTAAACGATTCAAAGATATTATTCCGTCATTAAATCTATTATAACATATATTTCAAATTTCCTTTGTCATATAAAACACAATTATTTGTCAAAACAAATTGAGAAAATAGGAAATCTATTAAATCTCTAATAAATGTTTAGGGCACTCAGTGGATATATAATTTACTTTGACCTTGATAAAAACTTTGATACCTGAATTTTTTTGGGCGAACATACTGGCTGGGATATCGTAAACCGCTGCTATCATCTTTACACATGTGTGGCCACATCAGTAATAAAGAGAAACGTTGAAATTTTATGATTTCAGACTGGCACTCGTAAAACTGGAATTTCCACGAATTTCCGTGAATTATATGTACGTGCGGTTTCCGCCATTGGCGGAATTCAGGTCGGATTTTCATGGAAGTTCAATAACGGGCGAGTTGAATCGTCCCGAGGCATTTTAATACGTCTACATATACGTCTACATATATATTATACATCTATATACGCAGGAGCGCTCGCGTACATATACGCGTCCTATGTAATCTGTCCATAATCCTTTACCGAGCACAGAGCAAGGCTGAACCTTTGTTGCGTAGCCCTTTCCCTCACCTTTTATCAAACCTATATAGTAGCATTTTAACGGTAGGCATAATAACACAATATACCTATTGTGTACAAGCACAATTAAAAATTAAAACTCCACCATTGTGCGTTCACATTGTAGGAGAAAATTGTTTTCTATGGAATCGATATACACATTTACAGTCCGGGACAATTTATTAAAACAAATAAATTTATTATTATAAAACAAAGAACTATATTATGTATAAATTGGCAAGTACTTTTATCAGCGAAATCAACGAAATTTACAACAACAATGTGCAAGAAATGTTATTATCACTATCTTAAAATCGTAATTTCAACTTTCATAATCATGGAGATAAAAAAACAACAGAAGAAAATATAAGGATTTTAGATAAAAGAATTGTATGTGTGAAAGAAGACGAAGTAACAAATTTGCTATATTACATTACTTAAGAATGCATATATTTTATAAATGTATTTTCTACAAACAAAGTTTCATTATTTTATACATAAAAGTTTAGAAAAAATTTTCAAAAATATCAAAATAATACTGTAAAATGTGTATTTTCTTAAAATTATGAAATTATGAAATTTTTATTTTAAAAAACAACTAAAATATTTGGAAAAAAACTGAAATAATGTATTTGAGTGATCTCCATTCTTAAGAATTGTTTAAAGTACCTCGCATAGATTGTAGTTCTCCTTATTTTGTACACATTAAGGAGATCCTCTAAAATATCACAAAGAGATGACTCACCTATTCTGGAGGGTGGAAGTAACAGCCCTTGTGCCTCTTCGAGTGGCATGGCATGCCCGTGATCTCGGTAATGAGGACGGTCTCTCATATCTCCTTCCGGCTACAACAGTCGTGTGTGTTTTGATGATGTTTCTCGCTAAATAGCGGTAATCGTCGGAGACCAGGATTGGGACCGGGACCGGAAGCAGGAAGCTGCGTGAGTCCTGAGGGACTCCTGCTAATGACGGCGGACGGTGATTGAGCGTCATCGCCCCGCCGTCACAACTAAAACCATGCCCAGGTCACCAAGATCGCACGATTCTCCAGCTTGCGTCAGTAGAGCCTTGTAGATTGCCGTCTACTTTCGCTCTATCAAAAAAAAAAAATTCTCGTTATGAGATGGATAAATAGTTGAAACATAATAGTTGAAACATGGCAGGCCTGTCCAATCTGAGCTCCAGAGCCAAAACGCAAAGCTATCGATGAAAAAAAATTTAGTGTAAAATTTCGGGGACTGTAAAGTATTGATACGCATCTAAGTGACGCTTATCAACACTTTATAGTTGTTGTACGGAGATAAATGTACAGCATTATACATTAGAATTCTAGTAAACTTTATGGAATTATCAAGTTCATATAGGGATACGTGCCTACTTATATAAAATTTTCTTTACATTTCTGGTAAATGAGATTGTCGTATGATAATCATTCTTACCTTATCGACAACAATTTTTTCTTTAGCATTGATAAAATTTACTTTACTGCGTAGTAAAAAATATATATGTATAAAAGTTCTGAGAGTTGTTTGTGCTCTTCAGTCTTGAAAATAATACGATTTATTTTACTATAATTTACTTTATTGAAAGTATAATTTATCTTGACTATAAGATAATAGTCACTTAAAATGATGTACTATAATATAATCATAATGTACTTTTTATCTTAAATTTCCGGTATTTTTACTTTTAGGCAAATAAAATTTTTCATAAATTCGATAAAAATATAGAATATTTTTACCAGTCAGAATATTTTTACTAATCTTGTAATGTATCCATCTCTCAATTAGTTTTTTCCGTGCAAAATTTTATTCACATTGAATTTTTTGCGTCGATGGCTTTGCGTTTTGGCTTCGAAACTCAAATTGGACAGGCCTGATATAAGGAATAAATTAAAAAGCATTTAAAAAGCGTGATATAAAATATCTCAAAAAATAACAACTTAAACAAATTTAATATAAAAGTTATAAAACTTCTGGAAAATCACATTTGCAAATTACAATACACTGTTCACAAAGTGTCACAGTGTCGTGATAAACAACATAACAATTTTTTGCTAAATAACAAAAAACTCGACTTTTCTTTAATCTTTAATTTTGGACAGTAACAAATAATACACTGTCAGAAATGCTTCCTTTACATGTAAATGAAACTCGTGGTAATGAACGAAATTAAAAGTAATAAATGATTTAACTGAAAATTAAGTTATAATAGCTACTTAAATAAAATGAACGTGAATATTAGTATATATATTAAATGTTCATAAAAAATACATTAAATTTCATATACGCATGTACACGAATATACTTTTCAGTTATAAATATATAAAATTTAATGTAATGTCATGTATTAAAAATTTTATGATATTTAATATATATATATATATATATATATATATATATATATATATATTAAATATCATAAAATTTTTAATAATGTACTTTATTTATCCTGTTATATAACTATTGAAACAATTAAAGAGTAATATAAATTAAATATCATAAGAGATTTGACCGAAATAATCAAATATCATGAGAGATTTGACCGAAACATGTATTCATATTCTCCCCCCCCCCCATTAAAAAATCGAAAAATTAATTTCGCTACATATAGATGATAAACAATGAAACGTCATAATTAGCTCTTTCATTCGAATTACAATGATATACGAGAGAACAAAGAAACCTCTTCTCTGCTTAAATTGCCTGATTCAGCATTTATCTGGGTTTACATGTGCTCAAGTTTCGTGGTCGATGTACTTTGGCTATTCATAACAGAATATGGTATTGTTTGCAGGTATTGTTACCAGAGTAACGGACCAAAGTGAATATTAGCAACAATGAACTTGTACAACTTTTCTTATTCTTTTTTATTAGGGATTTATACTGATTACATAACTCTACCATAACATTTTACCTTGCAACATATATCTACACCCAGAGAAAGGTTTCTTCAATTTAAAGAAATGTTTCTTTATTATACGGTTAAAGAAAAAATTTCTTTGATTTGAACATATAATTTTTTAAAATCTTATAAATAAATTCTTTTATTTCAAAAAATAATGTTTAAATTAAAGAAATGATGTTCAAATCAAAGAAATTTTTTCTTTAACCGTATAGCAAAGAAATATTTTTTTGTGAATCAAAGAAATCTTTTTCTGAGTGTATTTATAAAAAATATAGAATGAATACACTTTAAAAGAAGTCTCTTAGAGTCAAGAGATACATAAATTTCCATCTCGTACATCATGTTAATTTACTCGAGCATGCAAAATTATTCAAATTTCCAGGATTTCTGTTATCATATTTTATGTTCTCTTCCTGCGCAGTTCTCTTACATAAGCGCAGACATTAAAGTGAGCGCATACCCACAATGTTTGCTTATGGCACACATATGTGCGTACAATATTATAGATCGATAGTCGACGTGTCTCGGTTAGTAGGTCTAGTTCATAAGAATTATAGTTGTCGTATAGACATGCAATTCGCAGCTCTTAACTGCGACAACATTATCACATTACACGTGATATCGTTATTATCTTCCTTTTCTTTTTGTACAATTATCTCTGTTATTATTGTAAACTACCATAAAAAATATACTAATTATCATGGAAAATACGTACTCAATATACTCCTAAACTGTAAAAATACTCAAGGAGCATTAATGGTAATCTTTTAGAAATTTAGAAAATCAAGCCAATTGCGTTCATTTATTGTGTATTCCAAATAACTAACATTTTTTTAAATAACTGTTACAATTTAGATTTTTAATTACATTGTTTACATAAAAAAAAAATTCTGTAAAAGTTACCACAATAAAATGATTATTACATAAGAATCAATATTAAATTAAATTAATATTATAATAATATCCAGTCAATAAAATATTACAGTACTATAGTACACACATAATATATTACAGCATTAAAGTACAAAGAAAAGGAATTTTACAGTAGTTCTTTATTGTGTGATTAATTGGTAAATGTATGGCAGATTAGTGCGGGAGATTTGTTGCTTATACATATAAATCATTTTTGGCGGACGTAGAGACTCGCGTGAGCTTTCTTTGTTCGCTCGACAGCGGCTATTTATCAAAGCTTTCGGAAAATTTCTGGAAACGATACCAATATTTATCACAAGAAAAGAAAAAATTCTGGCAAGGACTAATAAGACACCAGTCACTTACATACATTAATTTAGGTATAAAAATTGCAAGCCAGATCATTTTCTACGATTGTTTCCAATAAACACCAGTGAATCACCGATACTTTTATGCTTTTCGTAATTGTTGTATAACTAGATTATAATATTTAAAAAAAAAGCTTTTTAATAATTATGTAGAAATATAAACATAAAAATGTAAAAGAGATATTTTTTTAATCAATTCAAAGCTTAATTAATAAAAAACTAATTTTTATTTCATTATTGCCTTTTTATCATTCGCTTTTTTTATCGTTTCAGCTATTTTAGTCAGTCATCGAGATAGAAATTTTAGGCAAATTTTTTGTAGCGTCTTGAAAAATATGATTTAATAGCAAGAAATATTAAACTCCATGAAAAGAGTGAGCAATATAACCATCATACGAAACGTATAACTCTGATTTCCTCCAACTGACAATGATATCTTTGAAGGACATCGTATTACAATTTTAAAAAGCAAGTATTAAAAAGAAGAAAAATGACGTGATGCCGAAAAAATGTGTTGTAATTCTAATTGTGAAAAAAACTGATCGATGCAAGAGTCGACAACGTGTTTCTACACTTTTTCACAGGTAAATCTGCTTCAGAGAGAGTTTAAATTTTAATGCACGAATTGATTCGCTGTTACAAGCTGCGTAAAAGTTGTCGCCTATAGTTACTCGTTACTCAACAGCTTTAACAATTCATATATTCTTAACGTTGCCACGAGCTGATGATTTCATATAACATTTTATTTTAAAAATTCAATTCCATTAACAACACTTTATAAAAAAAATATTTCTTATTACATATAAATACAGTGCATATTAGATCCAACATATTAGAGCTAGAAAATATTTTTCAGGCTGATTAAAAATGGGATCCATTATCTGCTTCTATAAGAGGAAAATTTTGGTTGAATTTAAATATAAATATACTATAGAGACTTTTAGACTCCAAAAGATCTGAAGAGTTCAAAGTTCAAGCTCAAAACTCAAAATGCTTGAATTGATTCGTTACCGCAGCATGTTCCGAATATTACTCTCAAAATAAGGATCCAGGCACAGTCTTCTGCACACACCGAATTTAACTACTTCAGTCAATGAATCAACTGAAACTTCCACTGACATTTTCCTCACTTTAACATTTTCACTTAGTTTCACACGACACTTCTTGTGTATGCTAAATTTGTCAAACAGTCATTCAAAGTACGTAACTATATGTTCTTTCAACACTAATTTGTTAATCAATATCATTTATTATATATTAGGGACGTATTAATTATCGCGTTACATCGCGGAACATCAACATTATTTTGCTTTTCTTCATAATTTAATGAAGGTGGATAAGATGTTAAGAAACAACCTAAATCGACTTGTCGGGCACGACGATATAAAAGCTCGAGAGCACTACATCGTCGGATAAATGAGAAAAAATTTAATACTGACAAGACCAAGCATGACATTCGAAGAAAATGTGAGCTTCGAAATTTCTGCGATAAGAAATAAATGTTTAAATTCATATGAAAAATTATAAATTTTATTATTCCCTCCTGTTTATTATTGTTTAAATAAAGTAAATAATTATATTATTGGTTTACGCGTAAAATATTGTTTTAAACTCTCTTTATACTCTTTTTAATTTATTATACACATTCAAATTATCACTTTTTCTAAAAATATTAACATTTTATATTTTATTTATATCCAATTCAAAAATTATATTTATACATTTCTTTATAATTTTAAATTATTAATTTTTTTAATTTTCTCTTTCCAATATAATTTGAAATATAACAAAAAATAAAAATTTTGTATATAATATTAAATTTAAAAACTATGTTATATTACAAATAGATTAAGTCAAGTAGTAAGGTGACGTCAAATGACATCTCAATGACGACTTTAACTTTAATAAAAACGCCATTAAAACGTCACCTTGCTACTTCAGAATATACAATAAGAAAGATAAAACCAGTCGTTATTTTTCTATAAGTTCAGTAGAATGCATCTAATCGATTTCTTGAATGTTTCTTACGTGACAATCGAAGTAGCTAAGATTGCAAGAAGCTCGTGAGATTCTATTGCAACCAGCTCATTTAGAATATTCATTTTTTCATATTGAATTTCATAGTAGGAAGGTGTGGTCGTGATGCATTGAAATCGGGCATTAAAGATTGATATTTAAGAATCATCGTCACGTGCATATATTCACTCATATACTTTCATTTACTTTCGTAATATCGCGTGATACTGTGCCCTTTCTTGTTCCCTTTATCGCGTGTCCATAGTATTTTTCAGTGACCCATGGCTTACGTCGGCTTAATTACATCGATGTTTGACGAGCAATTTTGCTAATATCCTCGTGTGAAATAACCTGCATTTAATGAGTCACAATTCTAAGATCTTGTTAGAGAAATGTTTAACTCTTAATTAATAACATGGAAAACTCAATGCTATCGCGACAAGAAATCTTTTAGATTATTTATTTCTTTTATAGATCAAATAATCCTTTAAAAGAGAGAGAAAGGGAAAGAATACTGTTAGTCATATATTTATTTATTACTTGAGGCAATTAAGAATATAAACAAATGAAAAAAAAATATCACATTAAAATTTATTCTTTTTGTTATTCATTTATTTTTTGTAATCATAAGAATTAAGAACTAAAAAGCAAAATTCAAAACTCTAAAAGACTTTATATATAATATATATCTTGATACTAGTTAAAGTAAACGATACTCCGTATTTCGCCATTACATTTTTAACAAACATCGACAAATCTATTTAATACGTAAAAATAATCCCAAAGATTTTTAACTCTCCTGGAGAAAACTCATTTATAATGTTCATTGTTCTATTTTCCAAGAGCATATCACACGTCAACGAGAATAATATGTACATAATTGTATCCTTCTCACGTTCTTCTTTGTACGGAAGCAAAGCTCCAGAATAATTGGGAAAGTAGGCTAATTCGTGGCTTGATATTTTAGACTACAAAGAAAGTAATCGAAAAAAAAAGACAAAATGAAAAAAAGTGAGAGATAACCATCTCGTAACCATCTCGTTGTTTCGAACAAACACAAACAAATTTTTTTTAACAATAATACGTGCCGACAAATTAGAGACGATATAAAAAAAGGGGTTTCTAGTAAAGTTGATACTAGTGGAAATGAAGGGCCCATTATTCCATTATCGGAATGAGAACAATGCAAATATTTGGCTATGGATACGTAATTAACAAATATTACTAACAAATAAATAATATAAAAGTATAAAAAAAAATATAAAGTTGGAATAAAGAATTTATCTGTAATGCAATCAATTATTTTCTAATTATTAATTTCGTATTTCAAGATGTAAATATGAACACAATATAAGAATAGGTACTCTTAAAATATCTATACAATAATGATCATTTTAAATTCTGTGATTGTATGTATAAAATTTATGAATGTATAAAATGCAATTATTTTGAAATATTACATATAATGAAATGCATATGTATATTTTTAGCTTAAAACCAAGTCTGGCTTCCAAGAAATCATCCATCTCGTTTGTAAATATTATTACAAATGATGGATAGTACAATTGATTAATATATCAATACTCTATATAATCAATTCTTAATATGAAATAATGTTGTAAAAATAATTGTTGAAATAAATGTTCCGTAAGAAAAAGTTTTAATACACTGATTAACTATTCAGTAAGTGATGATATTTCATATAGTTAATGATATAGTTAAAATTAACTATTCAGAATAGTTAATTTTAATCAGTATATTGAAACACTTTTTCCTGAGGGATGAATCATTCGACAAGCATACACACTATTATGTATGTAAAGATTACTATACTACAGATAAAAAAAAGTGTCGTTCTCTTCTAGCGAGATTACTTAGTGTTAATTATTCTATTTAACATTAACGTAGTAAGAAATATTATTTGATCTACGCTTTTTTCTATGGACAACTTACTTAGCGTACGTCGCGTGAGTCACGAGGAAAAACGTTTCGTCATGCTGTTTCGGCACAATCTTGATATATATATATGTATATGTATGTATGTATGTATATTAAAGATTATAGGACGAACGATAAGTCTCGGATGTTTATCTGGTTATCAAAGCCAGATCTTTACGCTTCGACATGCACATACAGGATGTCGCGTGTTTTCATTCGACTTTCCCATAATGTTTTGCTCCTTGAAAGCAGACTTATAAGTATAAATAAGAAGTCGACCATAAGTTTATAAAAAAGTGATAACGTTTCTGGTTGATGTAAGATGTTTGACACTTAATAAAAAAACAATCCATGCAAATCTTTATGATAAAATGTTTGCGCGATTTTTCGATCGATTGGAAAATAATAACAAAAATTATTCAAAAATTAGATATTTTCTCTATTATATCAACCTTAACGGAAAAAAAATGGTTGAATGGATTTAAAAACTGGGCTGAAAAATTTTATAATCTTACGCTCTATCGTCAAGCAGTTTAATATCATCGAGATTTGCACTAAGAATAAAATGAAAAAAATAATAAAATGAAAAAAAATAGAGCTGAGAGATGCGAGAGTAATATATCGATATAGGTTAGGTTAATCGGTAACAAGTCGAACGATCGTTTCGAGACTCGATCGTTTTGATTCGAATCTCGTACCTGTTGCAAGAGGAAGCCGAAGTGGTCCTAGCTCGCGCGATGCTCCAGGAACTCGGTTTCCGCTGCAGAGATTGAATTGGTCCTCGTCGCTCCAGCAGTCGAGCGGACGATCAGCAATCGCCGACAATCGCGTGCTAGCTGCTCGGCGCTCGCGGCTCCGAATCGCGGCGCGGGCGACGCGGCGGCAATTGAGGCATCGATTCGCCGCGTTTTCGCGAGCGAGTAATCGGCTCGCAACGCGACGCGACGCGACGCGACGCAACGTTCCGTGATATACGCTTACTCGACGCGTGATAACGGCAACGCGATAACGTACGTTACCCACATGCAAACGACACGTGCTTCTCTCGCTTATCGCACGCGCGTTCACGATTCTTGCAGCGCGGTCAAGCGCGATTCGCTCGCCTAGCTGGCCGAAGACAGATTTTGCCCTACTTGTGCGCCGCGTCTTTATACTCGCCCTTTCCTCTTATCTACGAGAATACGGAGGAGATTTCACGCCGCGAGATTACACGCCGCGGAAGATTCGATGAGTGTCGTCAACCATCACTGCTACCCGGTCACGGAACGAACCCGACGGCATTGACTCCGGCTTTTCCGCGACCAGGTGGCGGGTCGTCCTCAGTCGTCCTGTAACGAACGAGCGAATCTGACAGGAGGGTAGCACGCGCGCCGTAGCGTACCGCGCACGTGCCGGCACGTAATGCAAGGGCGGCGCAAACCAGGCTTCGACTACTGACCCTCATCTACCACCCCTCGTTGTGAACGTCCCATTCTATAATAATACAATATATTAATCAATTACCAATTTGCATAACGAAATTTTCTAATTATAACGGCCAGAGAATGAAGCAAAAATTTTAAAAATATGCAAAAATCAAATCGATGTGTGCTCAATAACAGGTAATAATTAGTCCAGAGCTTTCAAAAGATAGAATTGTACTTGAAGTTTCATTGGTAATAAAAGTAAAATTAATTAGAATCATATTGAATGGAAAATAAATTGATAACGTGAAATTACGTGATCTGTATTTTACTTTTGGAACGAGACGTCATTAGCAGTTCTCTGCAAATAATTTTTTTTTCTGTTCCTTTCATCTCGAAACACGTTTGCGAATAACAATGAATACACAGATAACCTACTTTTTTATTTAAAAAATATTTTAGTGACGCGTTAAAGTCGTGTATAATAGAAATAGAATTTTTATATAAAAATTAATGTATTAGAAAAAAATTAATGTACAACACATAAATCGTGCATTTTTATCGTTCACACAGAATAGATTTTTCATTTTCAAAATTAAAAAAAGATCAACGACTCGCGTCCCTACGCAATTTCCTTTCATCTGCTTCCTCTATATTTAAAACACGTTTGCGAATGACAACAACTGCATGATATAATTCACTTTTTTGAAAAAAAAAAAAAAAGATAATAATAGAGACAACAATTAAGCTGACACACATATATAATCACCTGCAGGAGTATATACGGCACTTTCAACCCCTAAAAAGGATCACGCTGTGGAGTTGAATCTACATGATGGACAGTCTTGCCAACTTTTCAATGGTTCTACAGGATCATTCGATGAATACTAATCGTTACCTAATCGGGGTCCTTTCCCCCCTCCTTTATTATTTAATCACATGCCTGTCCGTTGAATCTCCGTTACAAACTGATCAACGGAACGAAACACGGTGATTATAGATTCTGCTTGGTCATGCCGTGTTTTACTTTGTATTACGAGGACACCGTGACTACCGCGAGCCTGGAATACGTGACGTCACTCTACATTACATTCAAGCGCGCGCGCGACGTTTCCGCTTATCGATATGGTTTAAATTATCGATCGTCGACGAGGTCGAAACGCAGGCAGTCAACTGCGACCTCGCAAGTTCGGAACTAAAGTTTGCTCTATGTCGCAGCCTTGATTGCCGATGCGAAAAAAAATGTTGCTTATCTTACAAATAAGCTATATTCGTTTCAAATTTTTCAATTTTTTTCTTCAATTCGATTAATTTAATCGATCATGTATGATCAATGTAAGCATATAGCATAATTATTTAAATAATGTTAATTAATTCATTAATTCAAATTTATTTAAAAAAAAAACAAAGTCAAATTTTTTAAAAATGAAGATAATATTACAAGAAATATATATAATTAAAGTTTAAAAATAGCAAATTTTAAAAATAGCTTAAAAAAGCTATTTTGCCAGACTATATTAAACTCGATCATTTAAAAGAAACAATGTTTAAATGTTTCAAAAATAAGCTTTTTCTCAAAGTGAAGCAAGTTCCTTCAAACTTACTCCAAGTTCTTTTAACTTCATTGCGTTACTTTGCTGTCGCATCACAAGGATTGAAATTGCCATAAATACTCCATACAGATAGGAGTTACGACTTGTCACAGGAAGGCCTATATCGATGCTTACTTTTTGCTTCTTGCGTAATTGATAGCATAAGTATACTCTCTCGCGAAGCTAACATATAGTAGCCAGTATATACATATACAAATGCATTAATAATTCATCTAAATATCACTGTCAATAATGCAGTATTATGTCGCGCACAATCAATCTATCCATCAAAAAAACTATCAGCAAGGCTATCAAAGATCTAGGAAAAAGAATCGTTAAGTATGTATACGTCTATCGCCAGTAATACTGCAAATAAACATTACAAAAAAAAGATAATACTATACTGTCTAATAACGTTGCACAGGCATGTGTGCGACCATTTCCTTCGATAGTGATATGACGATATGAGTCGGCTGCTAATGTTGGGTACATGTACATCAGGCGATTCTCCGGAATCCATTCATCTCGTTAATTGAACATCCACGGAAAAGTTAGACCACAAATATTTTATTCCAAGTTACAAGAATGTCCCATGATATATGTAATATTGTCCACTATATATTATCAATTAGGCCCGTGTATATTCTGGATGTTTCTGGTGACAAGGAAAGAAATGATTAATTAAGAGAGGATGAAATAAACTTTTTCTTCTTCTAAAAATAAAGCTTTGAAAAATATTGCCATAGAATTAAATTTTAAAAACAATGTTGTATTTTCTAATATCATGTGGATTTTAATTTTTATATACCGCTGTGTTAATTCAACTTAATTAATCTTTCGCATATACTTTTCATCTAAAAAAATTCACAGTTGTAAATTTACCAACGTCGTTCAAGTCTCTAAAAATTTTATTACCGAATCAGATACAAGTGATGTCTAGATCAATATTACGATTAAGATAATGCCACACGTGACGATGGAAAACTAGGGAAATGAGGCATGATTTCAAGACATGTCTTATTATCGAGATCAAAAGATAAATACAATTTAACAAACTATATAAATGTATGCATTAGATCTAGGCTCGATAATGGCACAACTATTATCTCTGTAAAATTTTCATGGAAAAAAAATATAACGTGTATCATAATTTTCCAATCGTAGCCATTATCGTGTACAAAGATGTTATACTCAATTATATCATGTATATGTTGCGATTATATCATAGATATACAGAGTGTCTCAGAATTCGCGAACATCATTTATATTGTACGTGAACAGAAGCATTTAAACAATACGTTAAAATTATTCACGAGTTATCTAATCTATTATTTTACTTTCAGTCATTTTTTTCAGCAATATCAATTAGAAAATGTTCTCTTCTTAAATAAATTATATTCAAAATGATATTTAAATATTTAAATATCATGTTACAATTTTTATAAAATCTTTATCAAAAAATATTAATAAAATAATAACGTACACACTCATACATCGCCCACAATCCATGCATAATGTAGAGCTCATTCGTTAACTTAAAATTGCTCTCATTTAAAAAATTTTGTCTAAACACAATATTTTGCCAAAGGAAAAAATTGCTTCTTCTGGTACATATAATTACTGGTTGTGCAATCCGTTTGCGAATTCTAAGACACTCTGTATATGACTAGAGGTGTCCACTTGACGCTCGAAACGCTCATGGAATCATTTCATTCTTGTTCTTTATCAAATGTTAAACAAGCACAAGTAATGCGAGCATTGCGAGTCTTATTGTTAGATATACGATGCGTTCAGGGAAGCGTTATATTAGCGGTGTTTGTATCACTCTATCTTTGTTTTATTGTTTCATAAATATATTGGATCATCTAAAAAGTATCCGCGGTACTTTGTCACTAGATATATGACCATCAACACACATCAGTGACAAAAAACCGCGGATACTTTTTAGATGACCCAATATCTTCTCTTCTTTTGGATCTTCTAGTGGATTTCCGATCTACTGTACATTGCAATAGATCACAATACCATTTGTCTTCCTCTATGATAAGGAATATGTCGTTCCGTATAAACTTTATTATTCAAATATTAAAAAAGAATTAAATGATACATTAGATGCATTGTGCATAAAACAAAACGCTTCTTCTTCTTTTTTTTTCGGTTGACCTGAACCAACCAAAGTATCTTTGTATGATATGTACCATATATATATATATATATATATTGAGAACAACGAGAATTAGGCACTAGCACCTCTATACTTAGGAGACATTACTACATACTACTTTCTCTTCTCTACTGTCAGTAAAAGCTTTTATTAGAAAATAATCTGTAACAGTTAATAAATATTAATCATAAAAATGATGAAATCGCATTACATTATTTGTAAAAAATATAGTAAATTGACAATTTAAAACTATAGAAATTACTAATTTATCTTATGATATAATCAGACGATAATTTACCAGCGATTCAGATATGTTATAAGTAGTTTTACTCCATAAGTTCAGAGGTGTTGGTGTCTAATTTTCAGCCGATTAATATGAATCAGTGAATTTCATTGTTGCCTTAAAATGCCTTAAATGGAATAAAAAAATTAATTTAGGAAAAAACATGATTTTATTTAAAAAGAATATTACATGTCAACATTATATAAGTAAAGAATTCGTTTGTTAGAAAGGAATTGTTAATAAAATGTTTCCTCTTTATGTTAATAATATTAAAAATGTATTTTTGCTTACATTATTAAATAAGTATACGATCATATATTTATTAATCTTTTATTTGAAACATATTTTTTACACAAAATGTATGTATATAATGTATGTTCTGTTCATACAGAATATACAAATAGTATTATTTTGAAAATGTACTTTTCTAAAAATTATATAAAAAGCATAACTCTTAAATTCTTGTCTTGTTTTTTTTTCATTTGTATAAATATGTATAGTTTTTATATATCTATATCTCTCTCGACTCACTGTCGTAATTTCTCTCGTAAATTCTAAATTTATACAAGATTTAAATGCTAAATCACTTTGATTTCTTTGTTTCATGTACACTAAAAATTGTACGTTTTATAATTGAGATACGTGTATCTCTCGAATATAAATAATATCTTAATTTTCCGAGCAGGAACGACTATTTAAAGTTGAGTACAAATACTTAGAGATTTATGCGTCAAAATTTATATTGGCAGAAAAGCAAAGTACGCATTCCAACAATTCTGGAATAATTAATACAGCAATATTTCTCGTTGTTTTACTGCGCAGGTGCAAAATTATATACTGGATATTTTGGTGCAAAATGATTAGCCAGGCCGTAAACATATTCCGATTCTCCGCGGTCACGAAGATTTCTGGCGCCATGTGACGATTCCTCGAAGGACGGCGGAGCTGAAAGAAAAAATAAAAAAATAATTTCTATGAAAGAATTATTTCTATAAAAAGCTTTTTTGTTAGAATTAATGATGCAAAAATATCTCGTGAATATAATTGTTTCATCAAAAGAATCTTGTCATTTACATGGAAAAACAACATTAATGTCGTGCAAATCTTACGTAAGTTTGGATACAGATGAGACTCCGGTAATGGAGGCAACGCAGTATTTGTCGAAGGTATAACAAAACCAACTTCCGATGGCTTCGCTGAGTCACCGTCCATTCCCGCTGGTGGAGCACTCGGAATATGATAAACTGCGAGTGGAATCGTTCCCACGAAGATGAGTGTATTGGCAGATAAGTTTCGATGATACCTACAAAATATTGTAAATTAAGATTTACTTAAAAAAAACAAAAAAATAAAGAATTGATTAAAATGGACAAGCTGTTTTATATACAATATTAATAATCTAATAATAATTAAAATAATCTAAATTATATATAAAAAAAAAGGTATTAACCATCCTTCAACGCATGCTTCCACTTTCAAATTATATTCAAGATCGATGATGCCGCAATTAGTGAGATTCGATGGTGGAAGAGGCGGAATATCCAGATGTTGCTCGTAATCGGTAGTTGCACCGGTTTCGACCGGTCCTTTACTGACTTCCGTCACCACAATTTCTTCCTTTTTAGTGTCCGTGTGCGGTGTGGTAGCACGAAAGGTCACAATCTGAACTTCACGATACGTGTAAAGGTTTAGTCTTAAGATACTATTTTGAGAAATGTTGATCTTCGAATGGTTTCAATGAAAAAAAGTTCAATCGTGAACTGCTATTGCATACCTTACAAAGCACGAGTTTGACGGTGTTCACAACGACATTCGATAAATTCTCGACATTGATCTTGATTGGCATGGATTGTCCTGGCACATATCCTCGAACCGGTAATGAAAAATTTATGGTCAATGGTGGCGTGCCACAACATAAACAACAAAACGTTTTACTCATTTCTTGTTGTACAGATTCCTGGAAATATAATTTTACAATCTATTATTATTCGTATTATTACAATAGAAATATATATGCATTTTAGTTTAATCAACTATCACTGTAACCAAGTATCACTGTAATACGATATGAAAAATAAAATCTTATGTGTGACACAATTAAAATTACTTAATTTATTTGTAAAATTACTTCTTAATATATCTTCTATAATTATAATTTTTAATTATTAAAAATAATATAATAATACAATTCTAAAAGTTTTGCAAAATTTATAGTTTGATAGTATTAAAATACTTACTAAAAGTTACTTTATTTTTAATGATACAATTTCTACATTTGATTTACATTAAATTCAATATAAATATATTTAACCATGAAAGTACGTACAGCTGCTCTGGGCTCTCGATTTAAATCCAAGGAAGTGATAATTGTGAAAGGACTTTTAACATCTTGATCAAACTTCCAGGGCCGATCTAGCGTGGCTTTGACAATATAACGAACGTGTCCAAAGTCCGATTCAAAACTACTCGGCAAATTTGTCGGTAAAGTACAAGTGAATGGAAATTTGTGTTCTCCTGATTGTATTTCAATTTCTCCACCTAACAAAAAAACATAAGTAAAAAAATAATAAATTAAAATTGTATAAATAAGAAAGTTGTAAGTAATATACAGTTGTACGTAAATACAGTAATATACAGTAATAAGTAATATACAGTTGTACGTAATGAATTGTAATAAAGTTAAATAAAATGAATGATTCAAATTTAAATTCTGGTTAACAAAATTTTAAATAAAATTTATTCTCTCGTTAAATTCATCTTTCATAAAGCACACACATATGTACATAATTGATTATAAATATGTTACAGACATTTGAATGTAAAGTCTTTAAGTAAAAGAAAATTAGAATTTTTAAAGAAGAATTTAAACTAAATAAAATAAATTTTTCAATAAATTCTTTTTAAATATTTATGTGTATCTATATGTTAATTCATTATTTAAGTAAAAATGTCCATCTCAATAATAAATGAAAAAAATTAATTTTTTCATTTTTTGCTAATAAAATTGTATACTATTTTCAAGATTTAATAGGTTTTACCTTTTAACATTTTAATAGGTTTTACCTTTCACGTATTATTTTATTTCAATTTTATATTATTAATCAGTAAATAATCTAGCTTTACCCGAGGCCGATCCAACCAAATAATATTTCGTTTCAAAATATTCTTCATGCGCTGTAACAGTTTGGGTCTCATCCCGGTATTGTCCTCTCTCATCCATTTCTTGTTTTTCAGTTGCCCAACAAGTTTTTGCTTCACCTTTTATTTTCACACTTATACCTACATAGAAAAAATTATAAACATTAGAAATACTGTATTTAAAAAAATATCTTGAAAATAGCAAAATATTAGCTAGTATTTATTTTTATTATTAATTTATCAATTCTTCCCTTTTCAGTTAACTCTAATTTTTAATCAATTTATTTATATTTATTAATCTATCTATGATTTATTCTTTATCACTTTGCATTAAAATATAATTATTAAATTACTTCATTAATTTGCTCGACTTGTTAAAGTGTTCCAATCATTTAAAAAAAAAGTAAGAAATTTATATTTATTAAATAAAGTAGAAATTCTTATTCTTAAAATTATTCAATATTGTATTACATTACATAACGATATAAAGCTCAAAGGAGACAAAGTATCCAACAGTAGAGAGACTTCGCATGGGGGAGTATGTGTGACAGTTCTATAATTAACTCTCACACATTGTAAGAATAGAAAATGATCTCTTGCGAAATCAGTAGACACAGAATATATTTCGTTATATGCATGTACATATGTATAAACTCCAAATTATAGTGTGTGTATATATATATATATATATATATATACATATATATACATACATATATATACATTTATAAATTGTTAATAACGTTAAGAATACATAAATTAAATAAATATTGAATAATTGATTATAAATATTAAATTATTGATATATTGTTTACATCGTTACACATCATTAAAAATTACAAATTTGTTAATAAGTATCTACATAATAAGTATCTACATAATTTTTTTATAAAACATTGAAAAGTAATTTCAAATAAAGACAATATTTTAAAACAATATCTTGAAGACATAATAAATAAATTAGGGCATAAGATGTCTCAAAGAGAATTATAATGATATTTTAATGATATTTTTTAAATAATTGTACGCTTCTAAAATTTTTAAATACTTTAAGAAATATTTTTTGTACATTATAACATTCTCTGAAAAATACATACATATTTTCAAATTATTATTCTGCCTATATAATCGATTGTCATTTTAATACTCACCGCGAATCTTTTTTGTACTATCCAGTACAAGAATAATGTTTCCTGTCACCGTCTGTCCAGGATAATACGTACTCCATTGATTGTCAAATACTATTCGGAAGTCCTTAAGGCCCATTATTTATTATTTTAGCTTTTTCTTTCCTTACAACACTTCGATTATTTAATTTATTTTTATTATTCACTATATTCACATACACACACACATTACACAATATGATGTATGTACAGCTTTTGCTGAACAAACAGACACTAGCCGGAGATGCGTGCTCTCACTTTCTTTCTCTCTCTCTCTCGCTCTAGCTCTGTCTTTTTTTCTCGATATATAATAAAATCCTTCTAGTCTAAAATTTCCACTTGATCCTCACTCTGGTACCAGTGTATGAAACGTAAAATGCAAGTATTATTGCCAATTATTGCGCACTTTATTCGTTCTCCATTCGTTTTCTTGTTCTATACATGATCACGTGATTTTGCAACTATATCTAACGAGAGAACAGCACGAAAGAACGAAAGGAGCCTGGTTCACAAGTATTTGTCCAGTCTTTTTTGTGGGATCACATGTGATTAACATGAGGCGGTAGACGCTGGGATTAGCAAAATCACCCTGTATTAGCGCATCAACGTTTATTTTATTCATTACATAATTGTGCACATGCAGGTAGTTATCAAATGACACAGAAAATGTGTTATAATTTTGCTGTAAGATAGCAGCACTGGTTACGTTCGTATTATTCACTGCAAGTACTGAGAAAATCTACAGATCGACACTACTACAAATTTATCAACAGTATCACAAAATAAATGTATATATAGTATATATCTGGACACACACACATATATATATATATATATAAATTTTTAAATAAATGTTGGTGCGCCGGATGCTCTCACGGACTGTCTCAGCCGTCTCGAACTTTCCGAGAAAAAATATTCTATATATAATTATATAAAATTATATATAAT